AAACATGATGAGCAGGAAATGATTTAATGAATATCCAAGAATATTTCTTGAAGTTTACAGATAAAAATTTACTTTTTGAACAGCCTAATCAAATTCTTGCTACAGCAGATAAAAACAGACCCACACCGTGACACGTCACAGTGGAATTGCAGGAAGAGGGTGGGAGAGACCTTGAAAACTTCAAGAGGCAGCAAATATGGCCCTGGAGACTAGAAGATGTTGAAGCAATGCTTTCCAGTTTCTGGAGAAAAATATATTTCCAAAGCACAGTTCTATGATAAGTCAAGATGTGAATAAGGGCTAAGAAAGCCCAAAGTTTTTTCGTGTGCTTAAAGTTTTCATAGTTAAATTTGCACATTCTTTTGCAAAATACTAGCAGGAAATGTGGGGAAAATCAGAAAGTAAACCAAACAAGGGGAACACATGGGATCCAGGTGACAGGGGGGCCAGAACAGGTGAGGCCGGGGCTGCCTGAGACGAGGGGAAGGACATCCGGGGTGTCTGCCCAGCTCCTGATGTGCAGGGACCCAGGCCACCTGTGAGAGAACAAAGGGCTGTGGACAGGTATCTGCAGAGGTGAAAGTGGTCGAATATCTGATGTGTTGAAAAACATGCTCATGAAGACTGAGACTCTGGGGAGAGCAGTGGAACGAACTGTGAAACCAGACAGAAGACCTCATGGCTGACATACAAGCAGAAGCAATGACCAACCACCCCTACCCTAGTGCTTACCAATCAATGGAGACCTTGGCCCTAAGTCCCCAGTCCCCTCAGTCCCCAATGCAGGCCATTCCCTAGAAGCCATCAGGGAGCCAGGTATTAGAGCAATAACTCACCTGTGACTCCAGGTTTGGTGCCACTTCCTTAAATAAATGATTCATTTCTTTTTTTTTTAGTAGTCACATACACCTTTCAGTATATAGAAGGTGACACAGGTGTCCACCAGCATCAGGATGGTGTGGGTGGCTCTGGTCACTGGAGGGCATTGGTGGCGGCTGCAGGGTGTGAATGTGCTGCAGCCCCTGGTGGTGTCTATGCAGGTGAAGCACCATGGAGACTCTGGGCCAGGCCGTGAGGACAATGAACGTGACACAGGACATGACCACAAGATGGCACTCTTAGGCAATTCTTGCGACTGGGAACGGAGAGAAGTCCACAGGATCAGAGGGCAGGAAGCGGAGAAAGTGTCCCACTTCCCCCGGAGAGAATCTGGGCTTAGGGTCACATTATCACTGGGATGCAGGGACGTCCGCACCCCAGGAGCTCCAATCACAGCATTTCCCCGCGGGGCCCTTGCCAGCAGAGTTCCTCTTTCTCTCTGCAGAACTCTGTCCCTAGTTCCTCACTTTGGTCAACCTGTGTGATCTGGGAGTTGATTTCTGCCCACAAGTCCCTTGCACTGGTCGTCCTGTGTCATCCAGTAGTGAACTCTGTCCCCAAGTTTCTCCCACTGATTGTTCCTTGTGACAGGGGCTGATCTTTCTATTCTTTCAAGTCCCACAGCTCTTGCTGCTCACAGCCTCAGGTGTGTCTAGTCTGGAAAATACTCCCAACTGCAGCCACTGTGTCCTTGCTCAGGGTCTGGGGTCTTCCTCTGTCCATGTGACCCAAAGGACACTGTAATACCTCTCTATCATTCATGGAGCTCAGACTGGAGTCTCCCATTGGACCAGCCTGTCCCCATGTTCTGGATGATGCCTGTGGAGAGAACCTTTCTGGTCGTACACACTGCGATTAAAACAAAGCAATGATGTGGAAATACAGGGAGAGAATGTTAAATTGGTGACTGCAATGTTCAATTGACAGTAGGAAATGTCAATTGATAAGCAGATCTTACAAACCAGCTCTGCCAGCTAGTGCACTGGCCTGAAGTCCTTCTGAGAGACCGCGGGGAGCAAGGGGCACAGTCCACCATGCATATCACTCCTTCTGCCATGAGTCAGTGCACTGGACCCATGGACCTGTCACTTCATGTACAGGGGTCGTTCAAGCTGAGAGAGGCAGGTGGGACATCTAGGGCTTGTATACACCATCCAGCTGTGGCCCCTCGCTGGGAAATAAAAATGCTCACCACCTGAGTAGTCTCCTTCCATCACCACCCATGTGACCCCCTGTCCTCTCTTCTGCCACCACCCCTCCCCTTCTGGTGACCATCGTTCTGTTGTCTGTGACTGTGAGTTTCCTTCTATTTGCTTTGTCTATTTGCTTTGTTAAATGGCACCTGGGCTACCGCTAGAGCTTGGCTATTGTAAATAATGCTGCAATGGACTTAGGGATGCATATTCCTTCAAGTTAGTGTTCTGGATTTCTTCAGATAAATACCCAAAATTGGGATCACTGGGTCGAAAGACACTTCCATTTTTGATATTTTGAGGGAACCCCACACTGTTTTCCACAGGGGCTGCACCAGTCTGCATTCCCACTGACAGTGCATGAGGGTTCCTTTCCCCCACATTCTGGCCACCACTTGTTTGTGGCTTTATTGAAGGTAGATTTTCCCACAAGCATGAAGTGATACGTCATTGTGGTTTTAATTTGCATGTCTCTGGTGATCAGGGACATTGAGCATTTGTTCATATGTCTATTGGCCATCTGTACGTCCTCTTTGGAGGAGTGCCCATCCTCACCTTTTTCCAATCCTCACCTGAGGATGTGTCTATGGATTTTAGAGAGAGAAGAAGGGGGGGGGGAGAGAGAGAGAGAGAGAGAAACATTGATGTGAAAGTGAAACATCAATCGCTTGGTCTGCTCCAAGCCCCGGGGAGGAATTGAACCCTCAGCCTTCGGTGAACTGGAAGACGCTCCAACCCATTGACTCTTCCTTCCGGTGGGGCTGCCCGTTTTGAAATCGGATTGTTTCACGTCCCCTTCCCTGTGAGCGGCTGTGACTCCTTGGATTGAGATGGGTCTCCTACCGGCAGCGTCTAGTTGGGCCTTGTTTTCAAGCCACTCAGCTTCCCTCTGCACCAGCTTTTGGTGGGCGAGTTCGGTTCGTGTCCATTCAGGCGATTATTGACCTACGAGGACTCTTTCCAGGGATTTTACCTTTGGTTTCTGGTCGCTTTGTGTCTCCAGCGTTTACCTTCCCTGCATCCCCGACCGTTGGTTCAGTTCGGCGGCTCTCTCTGCCTCCTGTTCCCGTGGCCACCAGCCCCGCTGTGCTACCCCGGCATCTTCATGCCTGTCCCTGGTTTTAGCCACGAAATGCAGGGCCACGGCTGTGGGGGCCTGAATGTCGCTTCTGCCCTCGGGGCCCTCTGCTGGTTGCCAGGGGCACTGCAGGGGGAAACTGGGGCAGCAGAACCTGGGGTCCTGGCCCCGGGGCCCCTCCCCCGCCCGATTGGTGGCAGGTCTCGCAGACCGGCTTGTGCGGGGAGCGTCACAGTGTCTGACTTGTCACCCTAAGGGGTGTTTGCACTCCGCCCGGGGGCTGACGGCCCATCTTCTGTCCGCCACAGGGCACATCGGTGTGCCCGCTGCACCTGCAGCCCCATCCTAGCTCCACCCCGTGAAGAATCTCAGTTTTACTCCAAGGAGGACTCGACCCTCTGGTGGGAGCTGAGCGGTGCAGCTGTGGAGCTGGTGCCGGGAAGCCCTGCTGTGAGGAAGGGGAAGGAACCAGGGTAGAGGCGGGGGTGGGGCGGCCGTGGCAGAGTCGCCCCTGGGTCACCTGAGGAACGTTCTCCGTGACCCTGTCGGTTCTCATCACTCCCAACCGAGAGCTAATGGAGCCTCACTAACTCCACACATTATAAACGAGCATGAGGATTATTTCTGGGCCCGTGAGCCTCCTGTATCCAGCTGCTCCTGAAATCCTCCTGCTTTCCTCCGGGGTCTCGGGGAGGTTTGCTGGGCACTGGAAACAAATGTGTTTGTCCGTTGCTGCGAAAAATGGCACACACACACACCTCTGGGGCGGGGAGGGGGGTCTTCTGGCTTGAGTGCTCGTCTTAAATCCTCATCTAAGGATGTGTTTATTGATTTGAGAGAGAGAAACATCAATTTGAGAGAAAAGCATTGATCAGTTGTCTGTGATACATTGATCACGGATCAGAAACCCACAACCTTTTGGTACAGGGACCAACGCTCCAATCAACTGAGTCAATCGGCCAGGGCACATCTCTCTTTGATCTGTTTATATACGTCCACTAAGGACATCAGGTCCTTGACCGTGACCTTCCGGGACTCAGCATCTGCAGAATGAGAGCGGTGTCTGCAGTGGATTAAGGACAGTGGGTGCTGGGACACTTCCTGCTTTAAGCAGGTGTTCTCACCTTCTGATTGGTCAGCTCTCTGACTCCACACAGACACCCCTGAGGTCTCCAAGAGGGGGCATGGAAACTTGGGGGGGCTTCTAGGTGACAAAGCGGCACTTGGTTAGAATGAGGAGCCAACCAGCCACAGCCAGAGGCACAAAGGGTCACACAGATGTGTGGGAAGAAACCCTGACTAGTGCATGGAGCACAGGTGGTCACAGGGAACATCACTGAGGAGCCGTGCAGTCTCTTTGTCATGTGACATAAGTTCCATTCTTCCCGGGATTTTCCACACCTCCTTGTACATTCATGAGCATAAAGTGACTGGAAATGGCTTAATAAACGTGCGGACGTTTAGCAAACACTGTATGTTCTGTAAAGTCAGCAATTAGGACTCTGCTGAGTTCACTGAGGTGCAGGGGTGCCGGACCCTATTGCACTTCACAGACCCTGCATTTTCAACACTCACCTGAGGGTCGTTGTTACTGATTTTACAGAGGGGAAGGCAGAGAGAGAGAGAAACATGCATGTAAGAGAAACAGTGATTCGTTGCCTAATGTACCCGCTCTGAACCAAAATTGAACCTGCAGGTCAGGATGTGTTCCTAACAGAGATCGAACCCGTAACCTTTTGGTGTGTGGGGTGATGCTCCAACCGAGCCCCCCAGCCAGGCTGCGTTTGTCTTAAAATTGAAGGTAAGTTTTCCCACCAGCAAAAAGATTACAACTCACTAAAGGCTCAGGTGATAGGAAGCATTTTTATTAGTGACAAAGTATATTTTAACAAAGACACGTACATTACCTTTTAGACATAATATTATGGAACACTGAATAGACTACAGTATAGCATCAGCCTCACATTTATATTCACAAGGGAACCAAAAGAATGTGGTGACTCACTTCAATGGGATATTTGCTTTATTGCAGTGGTTTGGACTTGAACCCAAACATCTCCGAGGTAGGTCTGTATTCCTGATGTAAAAATGGTGTGCCATCTACCCCGTACTCTAAAACCACTAGTTGAGTGACTCATCATTGTAAGACACCTGCCTGTTCTAGTGACAGTGTCTTTATTGATGTGGCCTCAGCCCCCAGCTGTGCTGTGGTGACACTGCAATATACTGTCACTCTGCCATCAATGCCCCCCCACTTCCCCACGGTGCTGTCCCCCTAAATCTACAGGGGCCTCTGCTCTGTGCATCCCCGAGTTTGCACGGGGGCCCCCACTGGAGTGAGAGGCCGGGGGAGACGGTGGCAGAGCAGAGCAGAATCGCAGCAGGAACGTATCTGAGATGAGACGTTACAGGGCCCCTGCTCTCTGCTGATTCCAGAACTCGGTTCCTCTGAGGAGGGTGGGAAAAGGTGGGAGACCCATCACGCCCAAGGAGGTAAGAGCAGGATGAGTCTGAAACTGCACCTCTGGACACCACAGATTCCTGAGTGCAGGGGCCACCTTGGGCCATGTGGGGACAATGACAGGCAAAGTGACTCCTGTTGCTGTCAAGTGGGGACACCCAGAGAGAATGAGATGAAAACTCATACATACAACCTACTCAGACATAGGAAAACATGGAATACAGCCAATTGTAACAACATGTATGGGCCTAGAGAATATCATACTCAGTAACTTGGTCAGAAAAAGCTAAGAACCATATGATGTCTCTCACACGTGAGACATAAACCTGAAACTCAGGGACACAGATAGCAGGGTGGTGGTTCCCAGAGGGAAGGGGGTTGGGGGAGGAGGGTCTTTGTACCTGGTGAGGGAAGATGGTTTGATTTTGGGTGGTGGGCACACAGTGCAATGTACAGACCCTGTATCATAGAAATGTGCACCTGAAACCTACATGATCCTCTTAACTAGTGCACCCCAATACATTTAATAAGAGCACAACCCAATAATTTAATAAAAGACATACCCCTGCCATTTAATAAATACCCCAATAACTTTACTTTTAAATACTCAGAAAAGTATACAATATCTATAAAAATAAAGAAGTACCCAAAAGATAGGCCCTGCAGGACAGACCCAGCCTGAGCCCAGGCTGACACAGACTCAGGAAGCCCTCACTGAGCACAGTCCCGGAGGGACCACAAGGCCAGGGTGACATTCAAGTCCCTGAGATCCCAGGTCCTGCTGGGACAGGGTTCTCCTGAAGTGGCAAGGACAAAGGAGTAACAAAGGTGACCCAGATGAGGCATGACCAGGATAGGGATGGCCTCACCCCAACTCTGCTAGGACAGGACAGTCCCCAGGAGAGAGGATGCAGGTCCCTGTGGGGAGGGCGGCCTGGTGACCAGCTCCTCACTGTGCTGATATGAACACAGACATGTTCTGATGCTGGTTGCAGAAACAGCAGTCAGGGATCCTTAAATTCCCAAGGGGAGGCCGAGGTGACTGTTTTAGCACCAGGTTGTGCTCAAAGCAGCTCTGTCACACTGGGAAAGAAAGTTGTCATGAACAAATTCAGGTCAGTCTCAGAAGTGTCACATTCCCCCACAGCCACCACAGGCTCATAATATTCCACTCTGAGAATCCTCAAACCCATTAGTGCCCCTTGATCAAAATGCCCCCCACTTCCTGCCCTCAGGGTCTCACCATTGAGGAGCTGGGAGAGACACCTCAGAGCCCTGGGCACTGTCGCTGCCTGCAGAAGACACAACAGCAGAGTTACGGGGTGGGGAAGCCCCCCTCATAGACTCCAGCCCACACTCTCCCAAGGGTCCCAGATGTCACCTCCCAACACCCAGACTTACAGGCAGCCTGAGAGTAGCTCTTCCTGACTCTGCCTGTGGGAAGAAAACGTTCTGTGAGAAGTCAGGGGGGAGGCTGGGTCTCGTGACCATAAAGGAGCCCCACACTCCTGAAGCACAGGGAAGGTTCCAGAACTGTGACTGAACACCCGGGGTGGGATCAGGAAATAGTATGTGTGTGTGGAGACTGATCCAACTGCTGGTCTGGACGTGCTCCGCACAGACCTTCCCTTCTGACCTGTGACACCTGGGAATCAGTCCCCATCATTAGAATCATCAAGTGATAAAACTGTCCTTCACTTTCCCCTGGGCCTCACTAAAGAGTCAGTGTTAGGAAATAGGCCCCAGATGGACAAGCACCTGTGTGGGGACACCATGAGCATTAACCAGGCAGAGCACACTTCCACCTGGGCTTGACCCCCAGGGGTTCAGGGAACTCAGCCCCACCCCTTGCCCACCTGAGCACTTCCTCCTCCACATCACAGCTCCAGCAGCCACAGCTGCAAGGAGACACAGGACAGCAGCGATGCCCAAGATGCCCAGGATGGTGATGGTGGTCTGAGGAGGGGGCTCTGCAAGGGGAAGGTGAGAGGTCAACCTCCGGCCTGAGTCCTGACCCTGCTCAGGGACACCCTGAGGAGAGAGAGGCTCTGTGCCCACGCCCCCTCCTCACCCCATCTCAGGGTCAGGGGCTCAGGCAGCCCCTGGTGCTGCACATGGCACGTGTATCTCTGCTCCTCTCCAGGGGGCACGGCCACAGCTGCCCACTTCTGGAAGGTCCCGTCCCCTGCAGGCCTGGTCTCCACCAGCTCCATGTCCTGGGTCAGGTCCTCCCCTTCACGCTGCCAGGTCAGGGTGATGTTCGAAGGGTAGAAGCCCAGGGCCCAGCACTTCAGGGTGACCTTATGGTCAGAGATGGGGTGGTGGGTCACACGTGTCTTTGGAGGGTCTGAGGGGAGGGTGAGAAAATTCAGGAACTTTGCATGGTGATGGGACACTCCAGCAGTGCTCATGTGACCACCCTGAGAGTGGACAGGACAGTGGGGTGGGGGAAGGGAGTGTACGACCCAGTGACCAGCCTGGAGACAGGCACCTGGGATAATCTCCTATTTCCTGGAAAGTTCCAGAATCAGGGTGAGAACCTAGGGTAGGAGTGTCCAGGTCTCTAAGGGGACACAGACTCAGGTGGAGGCTGATGACATAGAAAACCCAGAGTCAGGCCTCCAGAGAAGGTCTCAGCCCCAGAACCAGGGAGAGCATCCTGGTGCCCCAGGTGCTGCAGGGTGTGAGGAACTGCTGTGGGGAGTTTCAGGGAGAGGCTGGTTCCCTTACTGTCCTTCAGAGAAAGCTGGGCCCGCAGGTGAATCACAGAATAAGGAAACCTGGGGGACTCTTCCCTCTCCCGAGCAGGAGCAGGATTCTGTCACAGGCCCATTTCCCTCCTCTCCTTGTAGGAAGCCGCCCCAGCCCACAGATCCCCGCCCTGAAGGGGCCCGCGCCCTGGTACCTGTTCTTTGCAGCGTCCCCTTTCCTTTCTCCAGGAGCAGCTGGAGCCAGGGCACACACGTGTCCTTCAGGAAGACTCTTCTGCGCTCTGCGTCAGGGACCTGCACCAAGTTGTGGACCGTGACCTGGTCCACTTTGGTGGTTGTATTCCAGGAACTCAGGTCCTCGTTCAGGTAGACGTAGTCGGTGCCGTCGTAGGCGAAGTGACTGAACCCGCGGAGGAAGCGTCCGTCCGACCCCACGACACAGCCGGTCATTTCCTGCAGAGTGTGAGACCCTGACCCCGCCCCGCCGAGTTAGCCCCTCCCCGCGCCCACCGGGATAAGGCCTCCGAATGAGGCTCGCACCCGGATATTCGGGGCACCCTGGCCCGTCCGTGGGGATGGGTTCATCCCCGAGCCCCGGGCACGCGTGGCTCACCGTCCTCGCTGTGGTTGTAGTGGGCGCGCAGCTTGTCCAGGTTCGCTCTGCTCATCCGTTGGTTGTCCTTGATTTCCTGCGTCTGCTCCTCCCCAAACCCTGCGCCTTCCCCCTCCACCAACTGTACGCGCAGCTCTAGCTTTGGGCTTGGGGAGTCGCTGTAGAACCACAGGATCTCCCTGTCGTCCAAGTAGCCAAAGACGATGTACCGGTACTTGCCGCGGCCCGGTTCGTACATGGCGGTGTATAAATATTTCAGGCTGTGTGGGCCCGGAGGCAGGGAGGACGCGCGTTCTGGGTTCGCGGTCGGACCTGCGGGGGCAGGGGCCCGGGGGACAGAAACCGCGGCCGCGGTTGAGAAGAGGGGCCGGGCAGGGAAGCGGTAGGGCCGGTGCAGCGCGGGCCGCCGCGCGAGTCCGGAATCTGTGCCCGGGCGCAGGAGACTGGTCTCCCCCGGGTTTTGCGCCCCCGCCGGGCCCCCTGGCTCCTGCCCCGCTGAGGCCGTTCCCTCCCGCCCCCGCACTCACCGGCCCAGGTCTGGATCAGGGCCAAGATCCACGAGAGCAGCAGGAGTGTTCGGTACGCCATGGGCCAGACTGGAGCCTCGGAGGAGAATGAGTTCCTCTTCCCGCGGAAGGCGCTTATGGGGCCGGTCTGCTGTAGGTTGGGCCTCCGGACACCCAATGAGAGAGAGGACTGGTGAAGCGTCATCAGTATCTAGGCCTGGGACTCAGCTTTGCTTTGACTCCTCCTTCTGAACCCCGAACTCTCAGCCCAGCCCCGTAGGAGGCCAGGTCCGCTCCCTCTTTGCCATAAATTGACACTATGGAGCGTTCAGGCCGCTCGTTGATTTCTGTTCCTCAATCCGTTGAGCGTTTACTGACCTCTCACCACATTCCACACTTGTCTGACCGATGATAGGCTTCTAATAAAGTACTCCTGCTCTCTGCACCTAATAACGCTCTAACTCGGTGTGACCACCTTAACCCTGCAGCGTTGGCTGACTGACCGACCACCTACTGGTTCCCAGGAGTGATTTACAGGAAACTCCTACTGATGCTGCTGCTCTAATGTGGTTACAGAGGGATCTTATCTGAAGGATGAGCGCGCAGTCTGTCCCTTTGCCACACCACATGTGCTCTGTGAGGCCGGCCATTCGGCCTGTGCTCGTTCACTGATGCGCAGGTATACAGCTGCGACTGCCCTTCACAGATCTGCGTTTCTTAATTTTCATCCTCACCTGAGGATTGTTGTTGCAGGTTTTACAGAGAGAGGAAGGCAGAGAGAGAGAGAGAGAGACAGACAGACAGACAGACAGACAGACATGGATATAAGAGAAACATTGATGGGTTCCCTGAGGTACGCACCCTGAGCAGAAATTGAACCTGCAAGCCAGGTATGTGGCCTTAACGGAGATCTAATCCGTAGCCTTGTGGTATATGGAGCGACCGAGTTCCATATGGAACTCCAACCGAGTTCCCGGACCAGGCTGTGTTTGTTTTACAGCTCAGGGTGAGATTTCCCACCAGCAAGATGACAACTCACTAAAGGCTCAGAAGAGAGCTAGCATTTTTACTAACCACAAAGTATATTTTAATAAAGTCATATACATTATTTTAGACATAATACTATTGAATGCATAATAGCTATCGTACAGCATAAGCCTAACATTTATATTCACGATGAAACCCAGAAGTATGTAAGACTCACTTCATTGTGATTATCCTCTATTGTGGTGGTTTGGACCCAATCTCATAATATTTCCATGATGTGTTGCTATTCCAGGTGTAAAAGTGGTGAGTCATCTACTCAGTACTCACAAAACAGTGGTTGAGTGACTCATCACTGTGGGACACCGATCTATTGAAGTGACAGTGTCTTTATTGATGTGGCCTCAGCCCCCAGCTGTGCTGTGGTGACACTACAACATACACTCACGCTGCCATCGATGCCCCCCCCACTTCCCCACGGTGCTGTCCCCCTAAATCTGCAGGGGCCTCTGCTCTGTGCATCCCTGAGTTTGCACGGGGTCCCCATTAGAGTGAACGGCTGGGGAGACGGTGGCCGAGCAGAGCAGAATCGCGGCAGGAACGTATCTGAGATGAGACGTTACAGGGCCCCTGCTCTCTGCTGATTCCAGAACCCAGTTCCTCTGAGGAGGGTGGGAAAAGGTGGGAGAACCATCACGCCCAGGGAGGTAAGAGCAGGATGAGTCTGCAAGTTCGCCTCTGGACACCACAGATTCCTGAGTACAGGGGCCACCCTGGCCATGTGGGGACAATGACAGGCAAAGTGACTCCTGTTGCTGTCACGTGGGGACACCCAGAGGAGGATGAGAGAGAAGAACTACTCAGCTATAGGAAAACACAGAATACCGCCCTCTGTAACAACATGGGTGGGCCTAGAGAATGTCACGCTTCATAACCTAGTCAGAAAAGGCTAAGAACCATATGATGTCAGTCACATGTGGGACATAAACCTAAAACTCAGGGACACAGACAGCAGGGTGGTGGTTCCCAGAGGGAAGGGGGTTGGGGGCGGAGGGGCCTCGTACCTGGTGAGGGAAGATGGTTTGACTTTGGGTGGTGGGCACACAGTGCAATGTACAGACTCTGTATCATAGAAATGTGCACCTGAAACCTACAGGAACCTCTTAACCAGTGCACCCCAACACATTTAATAAGAACACCCCCCAATAATTTAATAAAAAGATACACTCCTATCATTTAATATAAATATCCCAATAACTTTATTTTTAAATACTCAGAAAAGGTACAAGATCTATAAAAATAAAGAAGTACCCAAAAGATTGAACCTGCAGGACAGACCCAGGCCTGAGCCCAGGCTGACACAGACTCAGGAAGCCCTCACTGAGCACAGTCCTGGAGGGACCAGAAGGCCAGGGTGACATTCAAGTCCCTGAGATTCCAGGTCCTGCTGGGACAAGGTTCTCCTGAAGTGACAAGGACAAAGGAATAACAAAGGTGACCCAGATGAGGCATGACCAGGATAGGGATGGCCTCACCCCAACTCTGCTAGGACAGGACAGTCCCCTGGGGAGAGGATGCAGGTCCCCGTGGGGAGGGTGGCCTGGTGACCAGCTCCTCACTGTGCTGATATGAACACAGACATGTTCTGATGCCGGTTGCAAAAACAGCAGTCAGGGATCCTTAAATTCCCAAGGGGAGGCCGAGGTGACTGTTTGAGTACCAGGTCCTGCTCAAAGCAGCTCTGTCACACTGGGAAAGAAAGTTGTCATGAACAAATTCAGGTCAGTCTCAGAAATGCCACAACTCCCATAGCCACCACATGCTCAGAATGTCCCATTCTGAGAATCCCCAAAATCTTGATTTGCCCCTTGGTTCCAATGCCCCCACTTCCTGCCCTCAGGGTCTCACCCTTAGGAGCTGGGAGAGACACATCAGAGCTCCGGGCACTGTCACTGCCTGGGGAAGACACACAGCAGAGTTACGGGGTGGGGGAGCCCCCCTCACAGACTCCAGCCCACACTCTCCCAAGGGTCCCAGATGTCACCTCCCCAACACCCAGACTTACAGGCAGCCTTGGTGTAGCTCTTCCTGCCTCTGCCTGTGGGAAGAAAATGTTCTGTGAGAAGTCAGGGGGGAGGCTGGGTCCCATGACCCTAAAGGAGCCCCACACTCCTGAAGCACAGGGAAGGTTCCAGAACTGGGACTGAACACCCAGGGTGGGATCAGGAAATACAGAGAGAGTACACGTGCCAGGAATGGACCAACTACCTGATTGGATGCCTGTCCTCAACAGGAGCCTTCCCCTCTGACCTGTGACAGCTGGGAATCAGTGTCCATCACTAGAATCATCAGGTGATAAATGTGTCCTTCACATTCCCACGGCCCTCATTAAAGAGTCCGTGTTAGGAAATAGGCCCCAGATGGACAAGCACCCGTGTGGGGACACGATGCCCATTAAGGAGGCAGAGCACACTTCCACCTGGACTTGACCCCCAGGGGCACAGGGAACTCAGCCCCACCCCTTGCCCACCTGAGCACTTCCTCCTCCACATCACAGCTCCAGTAGCCACAGCTCCCAGGAGACCCAGGGCAGCAGCGATGCCCAAGATGGTGATGGTGGTCTGAGGAGGGGGGTCTGCAAGGGGAAGGTGAGAGGTCAATCTCAGGCTTGAGTCCTGCCCCTGCTCAGGGACACCCTGAGGAGAGAGAGGCTCTGTGCCCACGCCCCCTCCTCACCCCATCTCAGGGTCAGGGGCTCAGGCAGCCCCTGGTGCTGCACATGGCATGTGTATCTCTGCTCCTCTCCACGGGACACAACCAGGGCTGCCCACTTCTGGAAGGTCCCGTCCCCTGCAGGCCTGGTCTCCACAGCCTCCATGTCCTGGGTCAGGTCCTCCCCTTCACGCTGCCAGGTCAGGGTGATGTCAGCAGGGTAGAAGCCCAGGGCCCAGCACTTCAGGGTAACCTCATGGTCAGAGATGGGGTGGTGGGTCACGTGTGTCTTTGGAGGGTCTGAGGGGAGAGTGAGAAAATTCAGGGACTTTGCATGGTGATGGGACACTCCAGCAGTGCTCATGTGACCACCCTGAGAGTGGACAGGACAGCGGGTGTGGGGGATGGGAACGTACCACCCAGACACCAGCCTGGACAGAGGCACCTGGCATAATCTCCTATTTATTGGAAAGTTCCAGAATCTGGGTGAGAACCTAGGGTAGGAGTGTCCAGGTCTCTAAGGGGAGACACAGACTCAGGTGGAGGCTGATGACTCAGAAAAGCTGGAGTGAGGCCGGCACAGACTGTCTCTGAGAATGAGGCAGAGCGTCCTGGCGCACCAGGTGCTGCGGGGTGTGAGGGAGTACTTGTGGGTTATTGGCGGAAGAGGCTTGGTCTCCTATTGCCCTTTGGAGGAGGGATCCTATCTCGATGTCGGTGGACCCATACTGGTCGTTAAGCGTGGGGCTAGCTCGCTAAGTTATCGCCTTGAGCTCAGTCTTGTCTTCTAGCTGACCGCGGTCTGCGTCCATGGAAAAACTGTCTTCCACGAAGCCTGTCCCTGGTTTCAAAACTTTGGGGACCGCTGCTTCAGAGAAAGCTGGGCCCGCGGGTGATTCACGGAATAAGGAGACCTGGGGGACTCTTCCCTCTCCCCAGCAGGAGGGACAGTCTGACGCTGCCCCATTTCCCTCCGCCCCAGCCCACAGACCCCCTCCTCGGGGAGGCCCGCGCCCTGGTACCTGCTCGCAGCAGCGTCTCCCTTCCCTTCTCCAGGTACTTGTGGAGCCAGCCCACGCACGTCGTCTGCAGGTAGGCCCTCTGGCTTTCCGCATCGGGGACCTGCACCAAGTTGCGCCGGATGATCGTGGACGCGGTGTCTGCCGAGGTCCAGGAGCTCATGTCCCGGTTCAGGGCGAGGTATTCGGCGCCGTCGTAGGCGAGCTGGCTGTACCCGCGGAGGAAGCCTCCTTCTGAGTCCACGACGCAGCCACTAATTTCCTGGAAGGTGTGCGACACTGACCCGGCCCCATGTCAGCCCCACGAACAGAGCGACTCCCCGGAACCACTAGTACCGACCCGACCCGAGGTGATTAACCATAAACTGAAAATCAAAGTGGATCAAAATCCCGCCCCCCCCCCCGTGCCCGTCTCGGGGTGGGGGCCAGGCGCGTCACGGCGTCTCGGGGGGACGCTGGGACCCGGGGACTTGGGCCCACAACCGCCGGGCGGGCTCCGGGGGTGGCGCGCGGACCCGGGCGCGCGGGGCTCACCGTCCTCGCTCTGGTTGTAGTGGGCGCGCAGCTGGTTCACGTTCTGTTGGCTAATCTGGGCCTCGCGCTGGCAAACCCCGGTCCGATCTTTCCAGTAGCCCGGCACCTCCTGCTCCACCCACGGCTGCTGCATCCACGGCACCCGCGGCTCCAGCCTCGGGTTCGGGGCGGCGCTGTCGAACCGCATGATCTCGGTGTCGTCCGCGTAGATGACGCCGAGGTACCGGGACTTCCCGCGGCCCGGTCCGGACACGAAGGTGGTGAAAATGCTCATGGTGTGGGGGCCTGGGGGCGGGGAGAACGCCGATTTCGGGTCCGAGGTTGGGGGGGTAGAGGCTGGGGGCCAGGGGTCCGCAGAAGGGGGCGGGGCTGAGAGCGGGGACCGGGCCGAGGCGGGAGTTGGGGGTCTGGGGTTTGCGCAGGGGGCGCTGCAGACACGCTCGGTGCTGGGGTCCTGCGCCGCCGCCGGGTCCCCTCGCTCCTGCCCCGCAGAGGCCGTTCCCTCCCGACCCCGCACTCACCGGCCCAGGTCTCGGTCAGGGCCAGGGTCCCGGAGAGCAGCAGGAGCAGGGCTCGGGGTCCCATGACTCAGACCTTGAGCAGCTAGGGACGATCACTTCCGCTATTCGGAGTGCACTTTATACCCGGAACCACGGTGCGGCTGATTGGCTGCTTCGGTGTCGGACACCCAATGGGAGTGAGAACTGGGGAAGCGTCATCAGTATCTAGGATGTAAGACTTGACATAGGTTGTGAGAGAGAAGGGGACTTCTCATCACTGAGCGTCCACAGACTGGGACTTGGGCTGAGAACCTGAGAAGCAGGCCTGGGGACCCGGGACTCTGCCTCCACCCCTCCTCCTGTACGGAGGACTCTCTGCCCCGCTGTCTCCCTGAGTCCAGGCCCACAGGCTGTTTAATCAGCGACTCTCAAACATTTTGGATTCAGAATTCTATAGAGTCTTACAAAACAGGGAGGACTCCCAAAATAATTTTGTTTATGTGGGTTGTAGCTAAAAATATTTACCATACAAGGAATGGTAATTCTAAGTGAATTCAGAAATTCATTTAGAATAAAGTTAATAACCTATGATATGTTAACACAAATAAGGTTTTGATGAAATGTGACTATTTCCTAATACACAAGGTAAAGGGAGAACGGATCTGCTTACATTTGACATTTTTGCAAGTCTCACTGCTTGTCTTTATCACTAGAAATCTGCTGGTTTTTGATACTTGCTTTTGCTTCTAATTTGTTATTTTGGTTGCAGTATGTGAAGAACCATACAGCCTCACACAAATATGGAAAAAGAGCATTCTTAATAACTTTTGCAGATAAGTGTGGATATTCACCATTGATGGTTCACTAAATCTACCCAAGTGGTAGTTCCTGAAAAGCTATTTGCAAAGTGGAACCTGAAACACCACCATCGATTTCCTAATCTGTTACATGGCTTCAGTGGCTCTTGTACTGACTCCAGCAGGATTTGAGTCCAGCAGGATTATTGAAAGTGATGCATTGTTTCACTAATGATGGAGATCTCCCAGTGTTGGTGCATTTACAGACACATCACCAAAAATCACACTTGTTAACATTAACCGTTCCCACTGGAAACGGCCGTCAGCTCTGGGAAGCTGTCTGGCTGCCGTGGGGAGACACACGTTTGCAAAACCCTGGGTTTCCTCTGAGAGCTTCCATTCCATCCAGACAGCAAGTGCTGTCAGGTGTCCACTGCCCGTTGACTTTCCTTGAGGAAGAAGCTCACGTTCATTTGAGAGAGTGTTCACCAGGTCACACCTCAGTCATCACAGGTTCTGTGTCTCTCATTCTCTGAAGTGAACTTGCTGTTCCTTAAAGAAGAGGCTGACTCAGCCCTCACAGGTCACTTTCCTGGGCTCTTGACACTTGGGAATGTAACAGAAGTGTGTTTGTGCACTTTCCTGGTCATCATGGGAGATATTTTAGTTCTTTATTCTCCATGCTCATTAAGGACAGTTAAGAAATTCATCCATTGTATAACGAATTCAAGATATGTTTATCATCTTTTTACGTATTTTTTACTATGCAATTATAGTAGATGTACAGTATTATATTAGTTTCAGGTGTACCACTCTGAGATTAGACATTTATGTATCTTTCAAAGTGATCCTCTGGTAAGTCTAGTATCCATCAGACACCGTACATAGTTATTACAATATTATGGACTCTATTCCCTGTGCTGTACTTTACATCCCTATGACTGTTCTGTAACCACCAGTGTGTGCTTCTTAATCCCTTCCCCTTTTTCACCCAGTCCCCGTAACTCCCCTCCCCTCTGGCGACCTTCAGTCTGTTCCCTGTATGTATGAGTCTGTTTCTGTTCAACTTTTTCATTTACTTTCTCCTTTATATTCTACATATAGGTACAATCATCTCACATTTTTATTTCTCTGACTCATTTCACTCAGCACAATACCCTTAATCGATGTTGTTGCCAGTGGCAAAGACTTCATTTTTTTTTTTAATGTCTGAGGCATATTCTGCTGTGTATGTTTACCACCTTCTCTTTATCCATTAATCTACTGATGGACACTTAGGTTGCCTCCACATCTTCACTTTTGTAAATAATGCTGAAATGAACGTGTGGATGTGGAAGTATTTTCCATGTAGTAATTTGGCTTTCTTCAGATCAATACCCAGAAGTGCAATTGCTTCATTCCTTCTTTGTCTCCTGTTATACAGCCTTTGATGTAAAGTTTGTGGTGTCTGGTATAAGCATTGCTGCCCCAGCTTTTTTTGTTTGTTTGTTTCCATCTTCATGAAGTAGAGTTTTCAATCCCTGAGCTTTCAGTCTGTCTGTCTTTCTATCTGAATTTAGTGTCTTGTAGATAACATAGATAAGGGTCTTATTTTCTTATGCATTCAGCCACCATATGTCTTTTGAAAAGAGAAATTAATTGATTTGCATTTAAAGTAATTTTTGAAAAATTATTTTGTTGTTCAAGTACTGTTGTCTGCATTTACCCCCCACTACCGCCCCCCCCAGCAGTCCCCACCTACCTCCCCTGCTTCCACCCCACCTAGGTTTTCTCCATGTGTCCTGCATTTAGAGTAATTTTTTATAGCCATTTTATTGTTCTTATTTTTTATTTTTCTTCTTCTTAGAGAATACCCTTTAACATTTCTTGTAATACCGATTTGGTGGGGTAACTCCTTTAGCATTTGTTTGTCTGGGAAGTTCTTTATTTGTCCTTTAATTAAAAATTATACTTTTGCTGAGTAATCTTGTTTGTAGGTCCTTCCTTTTCATCACTTTGAATATCTCTTGCCAAATCTCTTTTGACCTGAAAAGTTTCTGTTGAAATCAGCTAACAGTGTTATGGGAGCTCCCCTGTAGGTAACTAACTGCTTTTATGTTGATGCCTTTAAAATTCTTTCTTTTTAACCTTTGAGATTTTAATTATGATGTGTCTTCTGTAGATCTTTTTGGATTCACCTTGTTTGGGACTCTGTACTTTCTGTACTTCTATGTCGACACCCATCCCCATGTTTCGCATGTTTTCCATGGTGTGAATTCTCCCTGACCATTGTGATGAATAAATCCAGCAAAGCAGTTGGTCCTAGAGGACAGGGTCAGAATCTGAATCTTAAATTGTGGTCTGAGGGTGATCTTTCAGGGGTTTTATAAGTGTAGGAATTTTAATGTAACTTGTTCTTTGAAAACATTATTCATGCACGTACAAGAGAACTCAGAAGACTGTCAAGAATACACAAAATGAAGTAAGTCGCATTGTCCCCTTGCTCTCTCAGTCACCTAAGTCCTCCACCTAGAAAGTATCACAGTGAGTCACTTCTGATTTCTCCTCCAAGAAAAATATGTCTGTGCACTAATGTTGGTGTTATAACTATAAAAAGAGCTCAGGCTACAGAGTGAGAGAAAATGTTTGCAAATCACTTCCAGGGGTGCCTAAACTTTTGGCATCTCTGAGCCACATTGGAAGAAGAAGAGTCGTCTTGGGCCACACATTAAATACATTGTGACATGTTCACAAAAAAAACCTCATTATATTTTAAGTTAAATTTAGAAATTTTTAATGGGGGGGCCACATTCCTAGCCATCCAGGGCTACGTGTAGTCTGTGGGCTGTAGGTTGGACACTATGTAAGAAATCTTAAACTTGAAGAAAAGAAAATAGTTCAATAAAAATGCATCAAATTCTAAAAGAGACACCTCACTAAAGAATTTATGGCATCCCTGGCTGGTTGGAACATCATCCCATGTACTGAAAGGTGGTGGGTTTGATCTGGGGTCAGGGCAAGTACACCAGGCACCAGATTCATGTCTGTCTGTCTGTCTGTCTGTCTCTGTCTCTCTGTCTATCTGTCTGATATATATATATATATATATATATATATATATGATTATCTCTCTAAAAAATAAACATAGACTCAAGGGATGATTAAAAAAGAAAAAAGCTTGCTTTAAAACCATTTGCTTTGTTTGGCCACAGCAGGCTTCTACACCTCGTACAACATTGGCATTCAGTGAAGGATCACTAAACAGTGTAATCAAGAATATTATAAACACTGACATCCACAGATTAGATTGTCGAGAGTCACTTCCAACAGTTCATGACCCCAGGAGCTCTAGGATCCCTGAGCATCCTCAGTGAGGGGTGAAGAGCAGGAGAACAGGAAGCCAACTAGGGGAGGTCTGCACCCACCAGAGATGAGGGCCCTCTCACACAGTGATGTAAAAAGTGAAAATGGAATCGAGTAGGTAGGAGGTGACACAGGTGTCCACCAGCATGAGGATGGTGTGGGTGGCTCTGGTCACTGGAGGGCATTGGTGGCGGCTGCAGGGTGTGAATGTGCTGCAGCCTCTGGGGGTGTCTGTGCAGGTGAAGCACCGTGGAGATGCTGGGTCAGACCCTGAGGACAATGAATGTGACATCAGGACATGACCATAAGATGGCAGCCTCAGGCAGGTCTAGAGACTGGGGACAGTGATGGCCATTACTGAGATGTCCCTCTTCAGCAGGAAGCAGGAGGGAGAAAAAGTGTCCCATGTTCCTTGGGGAGAATCTGAGCTGAGAGTCACTGTGTCATTGGGGTGCAGGGACACTCTGCACGAGGAGCTCCAGTCACAGCATTTCCCGCTGGGCTGTTGTCTTCTGCTTCTTCTTCTTCTGTCCCCAAGTCCCTCACAGTGGTCATCCTGTGTGCCCCTGGCGGGCCTTCCTCTGCATTGAAGTTCCACAGGGCTTGCTGTTCACACCCTGAGGTGTGTTTAGTCTGGAAAGTAGCTCCAGTTGAAGCCACTCTGTCCTTGCTCAGGGTCTGGGGTCTCCCTCTGTCCACGTGACCTGAAGGACACCGTAATACTTCTCTATCACTCATAGAGCTCAGACCGGAGTCTCCCATTAGACCAGACTGTCCCCATGTTCTGGATGATGACTTCCTGGTGGTACATACTGGGGTTAGGACTAAGCAATGTTGTGGAAATACAGGGAGAGAATGTTAAATTGGTGACTGCAATATTCAATTGACAGTAAGAAATGTCAGTTGAAAATCAGATCTGAGAAACCAGCTCTGCCAGCCAGAACAGTGGCCTGAAGTCATCCTTCTGAGAGACTATGGGGAGCAAGGGGCACAGTCCACTGTTTCTGCCACTCCTTCTGTCATGAGTCAGCACACTGGACACATGGACCTGTCACTTTATGTACAAGGGGCCTTGAAGTGGAGACAGGAATGTGGGACATCTAGGGCTTGTATACACTATCCAGCTGTGGCCCCTCGCTGGGAAATAAAAATGCTCTCCACCTGAGTAGTCTCCTTCCATCACCACTGATGTGACCCCCTCTCCTCTATTGTCCTCCCCCACTTCATGTGGTGACCAGGACAGCATTGGCTGTGACTGTGAGGTCCTTTGTGTTTGCTTCATCAATTTGTTTATTGTTCTTTGTTTTATGTTCCACATATGAGTGGAATCATACGATTTTTATCTTTTCCCATCTGACTTATTTCCCTTAGCATAATACCCTTTGGTCCATCCATGCCATCGGAAATGGCAGGATTTCATTCTCTTTTACCACCTCATAGTGTCCCACTTGTGAATGCACCACAGCTTCTTTATCCACTCACCTGCTGACGGGCACCTGGGCTGCTTCCAGAGCTTGGCTGTTGTAAACACCACTGCAATGGACAGAGGGGTGCGTATATTCTTTCAAGTACGTGTTTTGGATTCTTTCAGGTAAATCCCCAGAAGTAGGATCGCTGGGCCAACAGGCTGTTCCATACTCGTTATTCTGAGGGAACTGCACACTGTTTTCCACAGGGGCTGCACCAGTCTGCATTCCCACTCACACCACATGAGGGTTCCTTTTCCCCACATTCTGGCCAGCACTGGTTTGTGGCTTTATTGAAGGTAGATTTTCCCACAGACATGAAGTGACACCTCATTGTGGTTTAAATTTGCATGTGTGTTAGAGTCACATTGACCAGTTTTTCATGTCTATTAGTCATCTGTAAGCCATCTGGAAGTCCTCTGTTAGTCATCTGTCAGTGTCTTTTCTGGTCCTCTGTCCCTTGTTTTTCAATGCTCACCTGAGGATAATATGTTTGCTTATTTTGGAGACAGAATAAGGGAGAACATGAGAGAAAGAGAGAGTGAGAGAGAATGGGAGACATAGACATGAGAGAAATACCCGAATCTGTTGCCTCTTGTCCAACCTCCCAGCAGGAATAGAACCCTCAGCCTTTTGGTGACCAGAGGAGGCTCCAACCTGCTGAGCCTCTGGGCCAGGGCTGCCCATTTTACAGGGAGACTGTTTCATCTCCCCCTTCACTGAGAGTGTCTGTGTGTTTTTGGATGTGAGGTGGGTCTCCTACAGGCAGGGTATTGGGTTCTGCTTTAACCTATTCATCTTCTCTGTACCTTTTGGTCTTGAGTTCAGTCCCTGTCCATGCAGGTGACTGTTGACCTACAAGGACTCTCTCCAGACATTTTACCTCTGGTTTCTGGTCGCCTTATGTCTCAGTGTTTGCTTTCCCCATGTTCCTGGTCTGTCAGTTCAGTCAGGCGGCTCCCTGCCTCCTGTACCCACAGCCACCACCCACACTGTCCTACCCAGGTGACCTTCCACCTGTCCAAGGATTTAGCCACTCCATGGCCTGAAGGTCACATCTACCCTCCTGCCCTCTGCCACTGGAGGGGGTGTTATAGCCGGATTGCACTGGGGACCATGGCTACTTCCCTTGGACGCCCTCCATGCTCCATCTGATACGTGGTCTCACAGACAGGCTTCTGTGGGGAGCATCCCAGGGTCTGACTGTCCCTTTCAGAGGCCTCCTCACTCCACCACGATGCTGGTGTCCAGTCCTCCATCCCCCACTGAACACATCAGCCATTGTGCTGCACCTGCAGCCCCATCCAACACCCCCTCAAGAATCTGGGAGTTTTACTCCAAGGAGAACCTGTGTGGTGGGAGCTGAGCAACACAGCTGTGCTGCTCACGTGGGAAAATCCTGCTGTGATGAAGGGGAGGAACTGGGAGGGAAAAGCCCGGGGGGGACTGTGGCAGAGTCAGCCCTGTGGCACCTGAGGAACTTTCTCCTTGACCGCTTCAGTTGTCATCACTTGAAGCTGAAAGCTAGTGAAGCCTCACTAACTCCACGAATTATAACTGAGCATAACGACTGTTTTTGAGCCCATGAACCTCCTGTATCCAGCTGCTCCTGAAGTCGTCCTGCTTTCCTCTAGGGTCCCAGAACCTCCTATGATCACTTGAAACAAATGAGTTTTTCTGTGGCTGAGAGAAGTGGCACACACACAAATCTCCTGTTGTTGAGAGAGACAAACATCAATCTGGTTGCCTTCCTTATGCTCCTCAGGCACCTGCCCTGACTGGGAATGGAACCTGTGATATATTGGTGCTTGGGTGGACACTCCAATCACCTGAGCCACCCACCCGTCCAGGGCACACCTCTGTCTGAACTGTTTCTATAGGTCTAGTTCCGATGGCAGAGAAAAACCATTCAGTCTGTTGGCTCATACCCATATTTTCATTTTGTCTACAACCTTCCTGAGACATGCAGTTTATCTTTTAGAAAATAAAAGGGAAACCATTTGGCAATTAATGTGAATGCTCAGAACATGTTTATTGGACAATTATGCAAGGAAGCCCTGCCCCAAACAACCATAACAGTACTTAGTGTGGGAGGTGAGAGTTCCCTATAATTTGTGTTTGGGATTCCCAAACTGTCCTGTGGTTTTCAGGACACTGGGTCAGCAGCACAGGAACTGGTATCCATGGCCATGGGCACTCAGGGCATGTCTGTGAGGGCTTTGAGATCAGGGCTTCGTGGCCTTGTCCTGCTCACTGGACACGCTGGGACTCCACCCAGGGCACAGCATCATGAAGTTCCTGCCGGCCTTCCCAGGAACTCCAGGAGCGAAGAATGGACGCAGGGGCTCTGTCACAGAAATCGGAGGGAACGTAAAAATGTGGGAGCCATCGCCCACGTGATAAAAGGAAATGGTCCCCATTTCACAGTCCAGGAAAACACCCACACGGCGTAAGCCAGGACTGACAATCAGCTCTGTTGCTGGCCTGGTGCTGGCCAGGAAGGTGTCCTTCTCCCTGCAGCTCAAGGTCCAGAAGCCACGTTCTGAAGAGAGGACGACCTTGTCCTGCCGGGAAACAGACTCCTTGCAGACGCCCAGGTTCCACTCTGCGCTGGTGCCCACGTCCACCTCCCAGTAATGCCGGCCAGACGTGAGCTGCGGGGAGCCCAGCACACAGCAGGTGACGCTGAACCTCTCGGGACAGACCCTGCGCTTCTGTTCCACGTACACACAGTGGACTCGCCTCAGGTCCTCGGAGACTTCGAGGTGCTTGTGGGCCGTGTCCACATCCAAGGTCACGTCCTCTGTGGAAAGAGAAATAATCCATCAGCCCTGTCCCCACCCTTTGGGGCTACCTCAGGGACCCAGACTATTCATTCACTGTCACCTCTTCAACTCGGCAGGTTGGATTTTCCTGGGGAAATTTCCTGGGTCCCCAATTACATCAGTTTCACAGACACAACCAAGGGTCATCTTTGGAACTAGCCCTTGGTCATGACAGGCATTCTCTCAGCATTAAGCTCTTTGCTTATTCAATTAAGGACTTTTCTTCCCTTTAGTGTGGAGTCCATATAAAAAAAGAGACCATGACTGCTGCTTGTTTTCAAAATCGGCATACAAATTATCACAGATTCTGTCCACACGTAGACCTGAACTAGGTATTTCAAACGATGGAAAGTATTTTACTTATTGCAGAATAAAAATGACATCAAAGCTTTCTGTTACCTCTCTCTATATATATATAAGTATATTAAAATTATATATACACATACATATATTTATATGTAAATATGGAAATCTGTACATAGATTTATAAATATCTATATATGTATTTTCCCCCACGATTCCTGATGTGTTGACAACTTAGCAGGAACCTGGACGGCCCTTTCAACCGGGCAGCACCCACAGGGGCCGGGACGCGGAGCAGAGGACCCTGGGCAGTGGCGCCGCCTCCCTGTGACTCTGATTCGGGCGCAGAGCTTGGGGTCCAAGGTGACCCCCGCACCCCTCAGTATGGGGTTGGTGCAGCCTTAGAAAGAAACCTTTCAGAATAAAGACTCCTGGTTCCCTGTGTTGTTTGCTTTATCTCTTTTTTCCTTTTTAATTTAATTTAATTTTTATTTGTGTAATCCTTCCTTGAGGATATGTTTTTAATGATTTTACCCAGGGAGGAAAGGAGGGGTTGGGACTGGCAGAGAAACTCATCGGTTGCCTCAGGTGCGCCCCCTGGCGGGAATCGAGCCTGCCACCTTGTGATGGACAGGAACCCTCCCCCAACCAACTGAGCCAGCTCCAGGGCTCTTTAATTTTTAAAACCATCTTGTTTTTTCAGTTACAGTTGATGTGCAATACACAATAATATTGCATGTAACTAGAGTTGAAAACATTAAAAAAATGGATGTTTGCCAGATGGGAGGGGATGTGGGGAATGAGGTAAAACCTGGGAAGGGATCGAGAAGAACAGATTGGCCGTTACAAAACAGGCCCAGGGTCGTGGTGAGAAACACAGGGAATACAGTCACTAATACTGCAGTAATGTGTATGGTGCCAGGAAGGGAGGAGGCTTATCAAGGGGAGTCACTTCTTGGGGTATGAGAATATCTAACTACTACGCTGTAATTTTAAACTACTGTCATATTGTGTGGCAACTGTTATGCAATAATCAATCTCAAACACACTCAAAACTGAAAGTGGTTTACAAACACATTAAACACAGTGAAGAATCAGGAAGAATGGATGTCAGGGATCCGGGCTATGTAACACCCAGCCTCGGATTTCTACTCGATCAGTCTCCAGTTCCCAGTGACCACCAGCTGGTTACCTGTGTGGCTACCGAAAATACTGAATAGTATACGTCAAGGGCATGACTATGTCCTTTTTCTTTTCTTTTTAGAAGATTTTTGTTCTGTTTTTAGAGAGAGGAGAAGGGATGGAGAAAGAGAGGGAGAGACACAGGAATGTGTGGGGCCCTCTCATGGGCCCCCTACTGGGAACCTGGGATGGGGTTCCTGGTCAGGGCCCTTCCCAGGGGCAATCCATGCATGTGTCTCTCTTGTATCAGTGTTTCTGTTAATCTCTTACTTTCTTCCCCCTCTCTTCAAATAAATAAAATCTTTAAAGAAAGAAAGAAAACCTACAGACAGTTTTAATGCAGACTTCCAGGTTGAAAAGTTGGAAAAGAACGAACATTTCGGGTGCCAGAACCCAGCTAAACACCTTGACTGGAGGGCTTTGTCCAGTGACTTTTTCCCAGGGGGTAGGGGAAGGTGGTCCCAGAACTCACCTTGGAATCTCCGCAAACTCGGGTTCATCTGCAGGGTGTCTCTCAGCTGGGGCTCCAGCGCCCTGACTGCTGATACCAGCCTGCCCAGCTGATGGTTGGGCCTGATATCACTGTTCTGAGAAACCTCGGAGCAGGTGTGGCACATAATCCCGTGTCCCCTGGGGGACCTCGGCAGTGAGCTGAGACACTGGCGGCAGCAGATGAACCCACATTTCAGGCTCACGGGGTCTTCCAGGTAGGTCAGGCATACGAGGCAAGTGCTTGTGGCTTTAAAGTGTTGGGCCATGGTGGCTGTCTGGGGAAAAGTGGCAAGGGATTAGAACATCGTGAGTGACAGGGACTCGGTGGTCCTGGGACTTCACCCTGTTTCTATGAATAGGGATCTGCACTCACCAGTCCCAGGCAATCAAGATGCAGTTCAAGAACAAATATCAGTAGCTCATGGCCCGGAATTTCTGATGTCTAAAATGCTACTTAGATGGAAGATGAGATTCATCCTGGGGCTGTGAGGTAGGGGGTGAGATGGTCTCTACTGTACTGGGGAATTTTTCTTTTCAATCCTCACCCAAGGAAAGGTTTTTATTGGTCTTAGAGACAGAGAGGTGGTGGATGGAGAGGAAGAAGGAGAGAGAGAGAGAGATGAGTTGCTTCTTGTACACACCCTGAGTGGAGGTCGAACCTCAAGCTTCAGTAATACCGGATGAGGATTAAACCAACTGAGCCACCTGGCCAGGGCTACCTGAGTGTCTTATGGGGCAGCCTTTAGCCTGGAGTGGCTATTGAGCCACTGGGATGGGGCTTATCCACAATGAATGGTGTTGAGCATGAAATGTAGCCTGGAATTGGAAGACATCACAGGACAGGCGAGTATAAGCCACCTCCCAACAAACTTGTGAAATTGATGAGATGTTGGAATGACTGCCTTTTGCCAGTTATATTAAAAGCCTTGGTGTTTTGTTGGTTTGTTTGTTTTTACTCTATATATGTGGCTTCTAGAAACCAGGTGAGCCTTGGCTGGGTAGTTCACTTGGTTAGACAAAGGTCCTGATACCTCAAGGTGGCAGGTTCAATACCTGGTCAGGGCTCAGACAAGAAGCAACCAGTGAATTCATAAAGGAATTCACAACAAATCCATGCTTCTTTCTTCCTCACATCAAGAAGTCAAAAAAAAACCACTAGTTTAGGATGACGTCTCTGTGTGACTTTATATATCCTGTGCACAGTGCTGGTTGAGACCCAGAAATCCTACAACTGAGTGTGGCTGAGACCCACAGCAGAAGCTGAGAGGTGGGCTAGGTCAGTGGCTGACACTCCACTTATCACCTTGCAGGGTCCACCCATCTCCCATCTGACTCAGGATAAAGACCACCATGTTATTTTTGCTACCTGGTGTTGAGCATCTACGTTCTGTCCACTGCCCCCATCAAGGGCAATTCACCCCTAGGTGTCCACCCCATGCCTGGCAGTGAGCTGGCCTCAGACATCAGACAGCACTTGCTGAACCTTCTGTAGCAAGTGGAAATTCAAAACCATGGACTCACCTCTTGGGCACTAGATCCTTTTCTGGACTCCAGCTGCTTCCCCCGTTGCCTCAGTTCTGAATGAGGTCGACCAGCAAGCCCCTTTTATCAGACAGGTCGCTCCTCCCACTTCACTTACTTCCTGTTTTTCCCATTTAATCCAATCAGATTTTCCTGGAGATAATGAGATTTTCTCCTACCAGACTGAGGTTACCAGAAATAAAGGATATAGTTGTGTGTGAAAGTTATTTTTAAACAAATGCAAACAAAATATTATCATGTAATCATTGTAGATTAGATACTGAGTATTATTTCTGGTCCTCTCTTGGGAAATGAATATCACAAATGACAAAATGTTTTTTGTCAATGGTAAAATCTGATCCTTTGGAAAGTTGGTGACTGATGGGCCTAATAATGTTTGGAATCCACAATCACTGGGTTGTGGATTGTGTAGCATCACCTCAGACTCAACTAGCCTCATCCTACCTAGTTTTTAAAATTGTTTATTTTTTAACGACTTTTTTGTTGACATTATTACTGATGTCCCAATTCCCCCCTGGTGCCCACTTGGTCCCTCTGTCAACTCCCTGCCCTCTGGGCATCAGCACTCAGTAGTCAGAGTCTCTGGGCTAATCCCTTCACCTTCTCTCCTCCCTTCCACTCTTCTCCTTGTCCAGCTGTCAGTCTGTTCCATGTGTCCATGCCTCTGTCCATTTCAGGGGTGTCAAACCCTTTTTTACCGGGGGGGCCGCATAAGCCTCCTGGTTGCCTTCAAGGGGCCGAATGTGATTTTAGGACTGTATAGATGTAACTACTCCTTAACTAGGGACAAGGAGTGTGACACTGGCCAGGTAGAAACAAGGTGCTGGGAGGTATAAAACAAGGTAAAGAGCCGGATTTTGATTGAGGGCCTGGTGTTTGTGGCTTGTGGTCTATCTTGTTTTTTAGATTCCACAGATAAATGAGATTAAATTGGGTTTGTAGCCTCCGACTGGCCCTTTAAATCTTTCGCATCCTGACTGGTGTGGCTCAGTTGGTTTGGTGTCATCCCACAAAGTGAAAGGATGCATGTTGGATTCCTGGTCACAGAGAGAGGGAACTGATTGATGTGTCTCTCTTAGATTGATGTTTCTCTGTCTTTCTCCCTCCCTTCTCCTTTCTCTGAAAATTAAAAACAAAATAATAAATGACCCCCCTATTGTTATGTACATATTATTTTAAGAATGTTATGTTTATTGTATTTAATTAATTTTCCTAATATATTGTATTGATTATGCTATTAGAGTTGTCCCATTTTTATCCTCCTTATTCCCCTGCATGCTGTACCTGCCCCACCATCATTCCCCCACCTTAGTTCATGTCCATGGGTCATACATAGAATTTCTTTGGCTTGTCCATTTCCTATCCTATTCTTAACCTCCCCCTGCCTATTTTGTATGTACCATTTATGATTCTTATTCCCTGTGCCTTTTCCCTCACTCTCCCCGCATCTCCTCCCCGCCAATAACCCTCCCTGTGATTTCCATTTCTGTGATTCTGTTCCTGTTCTAGTTGTTTTCTTGTTTTTATTTTTTTGTTTTGTTTTTAGTTTCAATCATTAGTTGTGAAGTTATCATTTTCTGTTCATATTTTTGATCACCTTCTTTTTCTTCAATAAGTCCCTTTAACATTTTATATAATAAAAGCTTGATGAGGAGGAACTCCTTTAGCATGACCTTATTTGGGAAGCACTTTATCTATTCTTCCATTCTAAATGAAAGCTTTGCTGGATAGAGTAATCTTAGATTAAGGTCTCTACCTTAAGTGTTTTTTTTTTCTTGTTTTGAGAAATCAGCTGATAGTGTTATGGGAACTTCTTTGTAGTTAAATGTCTTCTTTCCTCTTTTGTTTTTCAAGGTGCTCTCCGCCTAATCTTTAATCTTTGATAATGTAAGTATGACGGACCTTGGTGTGTTCTCCTTTGAATCCTGCGTCTTTCAGTCCAGCTTCTTTGAGACTCTCTCAGCTCCCTGGTCTTCCTGAAAGTCTATTTTCTTTGCCAGATTAGGGAAGTTCTCCTTCATTATGTTTTCTTTTTAAAGATTTTATTTATTTATCTTTAGAGGGGAAGGGAAGGAGAGAGGGAGAGGCAACGAAACATCAATGTATGGTTGTCTTTCATGCGTTCCCTGCTGGGAACTGGCCTGCAGGGAACCGATCTGCAACCCAGGCATGTGCCCTGACTGGGAATGGAACCGCAATTGTCTGGTTTGCAGGCCCGTACTCAATCCACTGAGTACAGACATGATACCCATTAACCAGGCAGAGCACACTTCCACCTGAGCTTGACTCCCAGGGCGACAGGGAACTCAGCCCCACCCCTTGCTCATCTGAGCACTTCCTCCTCCACATCACAGCTCCAGCAGCCACAGCTCCAAGGAGACTCAGGGCAGCATCTATGCCCACACTGGTGATGGTGGTCTTATGAGGGAGGTCTGCAAGGCGAAAGTGAGAGACAAACCTCAGGCCTGGCCCTGCTCAGGGAAACCCTGAGGAGAGGCTCTGTGCCCACGCCCCCTCCTCACCCCATCTCAGGGTCAGGGGCTCAGGCAGCCCCTGGTGCTGCACATGGCACGTGTATCTCTGCTCCTCCCCAGAGGGCAGGGCCATAGCTCCCCACTTCTTGAAGGTCCTGTTCCCTGCAGGCATGGTATTTGTTACATCCCGTCCTCGCGAGCAAGAAAGGTCGGAGACTGCTGGGTAGTCAGAGGTGTTTTATTGGCCAAAGTTTCAAAGTTTTACCTGCGCAGGCGCGAACTCTCAGGGTGCCTCCGGAGACACACGAGTGCCAAAATGGCTGCAAATGAGAGTCGCGCCTAACGCTTACAGGCTAGGATTCTTATAGAGGCGAGCAAGCAAGCAACTTCCAGAAGCAGAAGGTGGCAGTTAGCTATTGGCTCAGGGGCTATACTAAGGTGCGTGATCTGACCAAGGACTGGTTACTAGAGCTCGTGGACAGCTCGTGATAGTATGGCTGATTGGCTCTTAAACCTCATGCTGTGGTTGTGGTCTTTTTACCCCCCCCCCTTGGTGTTCCAGGAGCTGACTTAACACAATCAGCTCTGTACCTCCTTGAAGTGCACCCTGTCCTTATGGTCGAGCGAGCAGCTAAAATTGAGAACAATCACGTCCTCATTTCCCTGGCTCCTTCAGTATTCACAAGTTCCATGTTCTGGGTCAGGTCCTCCCCTTCACGCTGCCAGGTCAGGGTGATGTCAGCAGGGTAGAAGCCGAGGGCCCAGCACTTCAGGGTGACCTCATGGTCAGAGATGGGGTGGCGCGTTACGTGTGTCTTTGGGGGGTCTGAGGGGAGGGTGAGAAAATTCGGGAACTCAGCATGGTCATGGGACCCTCCAGCAGTGCCCATGTGGCCACCCTGAGAGTGGACAGGACAGCTGGGGTGGGGAAGGGAGCCAACCACCCAGACACCAGCCTGGACAGAGGCATCAGGGATATTCTCTTGTTTCTTGATAAGTTCTAGAATCAGGGCGAGATCCTAGGGTAGGAGTGTCCAGGTCTTTAAGGGGAGACACAGACTCAGGTGGAGGCTGTTGACTCAGAAAATCAGAGTCAGGCTTCCAGAGAAGGTCTCAGCCCCAGAACCAGGGAGAGAGAGTTTCCTGGTGCCCCAGGTGCTGCAGGGTGTGAGGGAGCCACTGCTGTGGGTGTTTCAGGGAGAGGCTGGGTTCCTTACTGTCCTTTAGAGAAAGCTGGGCCAGTGGGTGAGTCAGAGAATAAGGAAACCTGTGGGTCTCTTCCTTCTCTGGAGCAGGAGGGACATTCTGACACTGCCCCATTTCCCTCCTCTCTATGTGGGAAGCCGCCCCAGCCCACAGATCCCCTCCTCGGGGAGGCCGGCGCCCTGGCACCTGCTCTTTGCAGCGTCCCCTCCCCTTCTCCAGGATCAGGCGGAGCCAGCGCACGCACGTGTGCTCCAGGAAGACCCGCCATTCCTCCACATCATCGTCCTGCAGGAAATTGCGCCTTATGGTAATCTGGGTGGTCTTGTTGGCCTTATCTCAGGATTGCGGGTCCAAGTTCAGGGTGAAGGATTCAGTGCCCTCCTAGGCATACTGACCGTACCCACTGAGGAAGCGCACGTAAGACCCCAGGACGCAGTCATTTCCTGCAAGGTGTGAGACCCTGACCGCGCCCTAAAGTCAGCCCCGTCCACTTAGTCCCCCTGGAGGACAGATGTGTCCCCCACTCGACCACCTGAGACCCCTCCCACGGGGATGTAACTTAAACTGAGTGGAAATAAGACTGGGTTAGGATACCCCCGGGCTGGAACGCGTGGTGACATCGATTGGCTCGTGTCGAGTTGGGACACACAAACCAGAATCGCAGCAGAACGTCAGGAGTATCCAGGCAGAAGGACCCGTGAGAAGGGGAAGGGAAACCGGAGGGAGAAGGGCGCACCCCAGCCCTGAGTGTCCCCACCCCCAACTCGGTCCTTGGGCTGACACACTGAGGACCTGGCTTGGGGACCCGGGACTCTGCCCCATCCCTCCTCCTGCAGGGAGAGCTCTGTCCCCCTGTTACCCTGAGTCCTGGGCCCCCCGGGCTGTTGTATTCAGCGATTCTGAAACATTTTGGTGTCAGAACATCCATCCATCCAGTCTTAGAAAGTAGGGACAACCCCCAAATTAATTTTGTTCATGTGGGTTATAGCTATCAATAAATTACCAATATAAGAAGCAAAAACAGTAATTTTTGAAAAAATTTAATTCATTGGGAATAATATTAATAACCAATGATATGTTAAGAGAAATATTTTTTTATGAAAAATAACTATTCTTGATTAAACAAGGTAGTGAGAAGAGCAGACTGCTTATGTTTTACTTGTTTGCAAGTCTCAGATCTTGTCTGTATCATAAAAACTCTGATCTATTTTCATAGTTGCTTCTGCATTTAATATGTTATTTAGGTGGCAATATGTGAAGAAATGTACAGCCTCACACAGATATGTAAGAGGAGCATTTTTAAATAACCTTTTCAGATAAGTGTGGGTATTCAGCTTTGAT